TGCATGTTTTTTAGAGTATTTTTGGAATGGTAAAGTATATGATACCATGTCATAATTGAGAGCCAACAGCAGGAAGTGACATTTATGGACTGGTCATTTAGTTCATTCCTGAGGGTGGTGCAGTCTTTGAGCATGCTGATGTTGTTTAGCTGTCCAGGCTTAAATAAGAAGATTCACTGATTCATTGAGGTGTGTAAATTGTTACACATCTCAGAAACTCATTAAACTCATTGGTTTGTTGCAGAATTCTCTTTTCTGTATTTGAGCCCACATTAAATGAAGCTACAAACTCAGTACACACTGACTTGGTTAACGTGCACACTCATGATCAGCAAAACTAATGTTGGGTATTTTTTGTAGAGTTTTCATTTCTTTCATCATTAAAAGTTATATGTGTATGTAAGTGGGTTAAAAATGTAAAAGTTCAGTAAAATGTCACATCCATCCCATTATATGATGAAGTTTTCTATAATTCATGCTTCAAATCTCTTTCATAATGCATAGCAATTTATTTTGGCCTATATAACCTCCAGCCTTGCACCTCTTCTCTGTACATAATGGATGGAATTCCACTTTCCCACAATGCAGGCAGGATGACGCTAATGTGTGTGAAGGTGAAGAAGAGCGAAGCACATAAAGCTGGAGTGCTCAGACCTCCTCAGTCATACCTGCTGTCTGCATTTCTCTTTCTATAACCATCGTTTTTATTATACTGCTATAAAAAAAAATGAGCCTTTTCAGATTTATCCCTTTAGAACCAAATATTCATACTTTATTTTTTGAGGCGATCCACACAGTTTGACTTTAGTCACAGTGCTCAAAAGGTACGCGTTCTCCTGCTTTCGTGGTTTAATTGTGGCTGTGACAAAACATCTTCAAAAGAAGAAACAAAATGAGGGCAAACATATATTTTTATGTGTTTTTTTTATTGCTAATAATGAACAGACTAACTTAAAGAAAGAAAATAACACAAGACCTTCCACGATTCTTGCTTCCTACTAATAGCTGGTTTAATTTTCCAAAAACTGAAAGTTATCTCAAAGATAAAAATATGCTACTGTGGATGGATGAGGTCAGTTAATTTATCCAAACTTGTGGGGCTGATATGAATACTCAGCCGGGAATCTTCATTTGCTTCTTTATCAGCTTTCCTCGGTTAACCACCACCTGATTTACAGATTTATAATCCGCGGTGTGCCAGCAAAACACCTGTGACTGAGCTCCAGATCTCCTCTCCACACAGGAATGTAAGCTGCACTGTTTGCCTACCTGCTAGAGTTCTGAGACTGAACTGAAAACACACAGACAGAGCTATCATGTCCCAAGCTTAAACACATTTTTACTGAGCCCCGGCATGGGAAGTATGAGAGGCATGCTCCTGTGGATTATACTGGACTGAATACAACCGAATATTTGTTTTTAAAGAGAAACTAGATAGTTATATGCTCCTTATATTTGATATAGATTTAAAATGAACAGTAGTTAGCTACCTGGCTGGTTATGGATTTAGACTACCAGCATGGTAAGCCAACAGGTCTGTAAGAATCACACTACTGAGGTGAAGGTCCACTGGGGTTGGATGGATGGGTGTAAATTTCAGTATCAGAATGTAAGTTTGAAGCGGGAACTATGCATGCATCCTTGGAGTGGACTGAAAAATACAGTAATGAGAACGGTTTGTCTGTGGTGTCTCAGTCAGCTCTGGAAGTGTTTGGTTAGCTGAGGGTAAACTGAACTAAGCTTTCAATTATTGAAAACTCAAACCAAGTTCACCATGTCCTCTCAGCAGAAACACAACCATTAATAGCACAACTTCTATAATACATTTTACCACCTCAGCCTCTATACTCCTGCATAATTCTGTAATTAATAATCCAGCTGAAAAAAAAGTTTGGTGCTTTGGGCTTAAATTTTCAAACATCTGACAAATATGGTGGCATAATCTCTGCCACCTAAAACTGCACATACATTTTTATGCAGATTACACTGTTTTATATGCCACTGGCCGTTCCTCGGATCAGGCCACTGCAAATGTACAGTCTGCTTTTGATACATTTCAAAATTCTCTGATCACACATAATCTTATTTTAAACTCTGATAAAACAAAATGCATGAGTGCATTTAAGGTCAACTAAAAATATCCAGCATACAGTCCATACTAAAACTCAGCATGGTCATTAAAATTGTTCTCTGTTATAAATATTTAGGACTCTGGCTGGAAGTTAGACTCACTTTTAAAAACCACTATTGAGGAAAATTAAAGATGAAGATTAGAGTTTCACACAGAAACAAATCTTGTTTCTCATTCACAAGCACATTGCCAGTCCTGGTAAATGGACTGCTTCTTACAAAGTGCTTTTCTACTGTACCTGAGCACTCAAGTCACTTTATACAACTTGACTCACTCACCCGTTCACACAAGCTCTTTTTCTATGTAAGTGCTTTTGTGGAGATTAGGAAATTATTTTACTGTTAAAATTCATAACCATTATTATTACTATTGCATTAATTATCATTTCATCAAAGCATTTATTGAAGCTGTTGATGTTACATTAAAGTCCGTATTTCAGGTGTTAGCATAATCACACAATAATCTTTCATTGCAGGTGCAACTGTAATCATTTTATACACATTGCATTTTGGTGCTTATTAAAGAGTTGAAGCTCGGTCAGTTAATTGATGGTCAGAAGCTTCGGTCGGCGCAATGTCCGGCCGATCTATTGAGTAAAGTGGCCTAGAGCTATGGAAGATTGCATACATGCTTATAATACATATACACCACATATAATCTGTTATTTTGAGGAGCTGTCTGGATGTGGCTATTTGAATAACCAGGTTATTCATTATTATCTTTTATTCGTTTATATTCTTTTTATTAAGCTTTGAGTAGTGAAGAATCAAACGGCATGTTGTACCTGCATAAGTGACAGTTTCAGTTCCAGAAATAAGCGAGAGTAAGAAGATCAACAGGAAGCATCTGGCGGAGGAACAGAGGAAGGAACTGTTCTTTTTGAATGTGTCAAAAGTTGTGGTTACTGTAACTGATGCATGTTATCTATCTGCTTTGATGCACAACAGGCGTCATAAACGATACCCTGATAGTATAAAAACAACTGCTGGTGTATTGTTCGGGGGAGATCGACGCCGATTGTGTGACGGTGTTCATCTCCTCCACACGTGTGTTTAATAAAATCATTGTTTTGACGCACTTGGACCTGCGGTCGTTTGTCTCTCACCTCAATCATGACATTTACACTCCGATGGATGCATCAAACAGCAACTTGGGTTTAGTACTCTCCACGCAGACGGGAGCACCAGGGCTTGAACCACCAACCTTCCAGTTAGCAGATGACCTGCACTACAGCCACGCCAAAAGGTTTGTGCCTTGGAAGGTAATGTTGTTGATTTGGCAGATTTTCCATTACTTCCTGCCCTGTGTCTGTAGAGAACCAGTGACCTTTTGCTTGCCATGCAAATGTGTCAACCATCACATTATAAGCAGAACACTAACGATGATATTGTTCATATGCTTGCGACTATATTCACCTCGACGTCTCTTGATTTTGTGTATTCTGTGCACTGAATCTGAATGTGTCTTTCCAGGCTCTGCTGCTTACCTCTGCTCCTTTCCTGAATTTAAACACAGTACTTACAATGTCAGTTTGCAGGACATTTTATCATTAGCTGTGCCTCTTGAAAACTGCATTTAAATACTTCACTGTCTATAAATGGAATAAGCTAAAAACAAACCCAAGAATGGTGTTGTCTGATTTCACAGGAACATTTTAAAGGGTTGCATTTGTTTATTTGCAACTACTTGAGTAGGTTTTTCTTCATCTGTGATAATGTGTGATGGCTTGTTCTATTGTGTAGCCAACTGTCTAAATATTTAAATTTTTTTTGTACTGACATTTCTCTTGAAAAAAGATCTCGTTCTCACTGAGCTTACCTGTTGTAAAGAATATAATAAATAAGGCAGCAGCCATGTACTGTAGATAAGGCAGAAACCATGAAAAACTATATCCGGACCAAGCCTCTCATATATTCATCGAGTAATTTAAATAACTCGATGATAAAAAAAATCCTCACAGCAAATTTTTTTCTTCAATGCTTCGTTCCGTCATTACCAAGTAAATGCGAGCGACACATAAACAGGCCAGAGATAGAAACTTATTCAGGAGTAGTGAGGGAATAAACCCCATTAAGAACACACAGGCCCCAGTCTTCAACAAAAACACTGGTAACAGAAGAGCAGCAGAGATGATGACGCAGGCACAGTTTAACGTGGAGGAGGTTTGTTTCACACAGAGAAATCTGCAGTGAGTCTCCAGACGTTTATTAAAATCTGCAGATGAAATGTTAACTTAGTCTGATACGTGTTTAAATTATACAGCTCGCTGAAAGCTGACGGCAGCCGTCCTATTTTACATGGAATTGATACCTGCAGCAAGCAGGGGTGAGTCTAAAGAGGGACATTGGGTGTACTAGTATTGTATTAATATTTCAAAATATAAATATTTTAAAAAATGTAAAAATATATAAATGCAAGACCATTAAAAATGTACATGGGCCAATAAAACTGAGGATTGTTAGGTTGGACAGTGAATTATTATTAATATTAATTAAGGTCTACACCATAATAACATCTTGTTTTCAGCAGCACAGAAAGGCACAGCACACACTTCACAATGCTGATACATTTCTCTTCATCGCATCCACCACATTTTATCTGTAAGCCTTTTCTTTAAAGGCTTACAGATACAAACTCACTCACTCTCGAGCATAGTTAAACATGCAGACACACACGCACAAAAACTCATAAACATAAACACACAGCAAATCCACCTCATCCAGGAGATAAAATGCTGTCACAACTCTTTCTGCCTCCTGTTTTTATTATTGCTCAACAATAAGACAAAAGTACTTCTTATCCGATTGCTTGATTAATCAATGAAATAATCACTAGAATACTCGATTACTAAGGCCTAATCCAAACTCACCTGCAGGTTCGCACAAGTGGAAAACATACAAGCACTGTCCAGGGGTTTGATTGCATTTCCATGCAGAGAGGGAGCAGGTTTGGCGATGACTGGAGGCCCGGCAGGGGGCAGGAAAGTGGATGATGGCTCGGTTACGAGAAAAGTTCCTCCCTCCGAGCTGTAACCAAACGACTGGATGGCATTTTCTGTGTGGAGATGGAGACGGGCGGTCAGAGAAAGAGCGAGAACTTTCTACACCTGCTGAGAACCACACTGACCTGACAACCAATTACTGTTTTCTCATCAAGAGGCAGCTGCCACCTGGCCTTCCTCCAGGTAGGTAACAAGAATCTGACGCTGGCCTGTTTCCCAAATTTAGATCGGCACACATGGTTCACTGTTGGGTCCTAAATTCCCCCCAAAACAAGCCAAACACTCCAAGCTCAATCAAACTGGTAATTATTACCGAGTATGTCTATGAATGTTCTAAGTCAACCAGGTCATCGTAGTCAAAGGAGCTTGGAGAGAAAAGCGTCTGGACTTCTTTAAGTTGCTTGAAGAGGTTTCACCT